CTAAGGCGTGAAGGCAACACAGGGTGAAGGGGCAGAAGACTCCCTCGCGCCAACCGCCCCATCAGAACGGGCACAGACATGGCCTTGGGAGCTGCATGTGGCCGTCCCCCGTGCGGCCAGCCAGAGCCCAGAGAGCAGCAACCAGCCTGAGGAACCTCGGCCATGCCCGGTGGACACCTGAGGGAGGCTGTGTCTGCTAAGCCCTGAGACAGACACCCGGCTTGCTCGGGCTCCACCGAACTATAGTGGTGCCCAGAGGTTCCTATCTGGGCCCCTCCCCCCAGAGAGCTTCCCCAGAGCTCCCGATGACAGGATGGGGAGGCGCTGGTAGGGGAGGGTCCCTGAGCCCCAGAGCAGAACAGTCACGCCCTTCCTCCGCCTGCCAATCCACACACTGGTGTTCACAAGGCAGAGCTGGTGTCGAGGGAGTTAGGAATGTCTTTTTGACCTTCCTAGCCATTTCCTATCCGGCTAACAAAGTTTTATGATATCTGTCAAAGGTTACATTTTCTAAATTATCAGATTTCCCCTGAAATCTCATAAACTGAAGAGAGAGCACAGGAGTGTCTGGTTTGCTGTATCTCACCAGCGGTCACTGACATCACTATGGTTCACCACACGCTTGGGTTTGAGCTGGCTCCCTGATAAATCACAACAAGAAATAAATTGGTTGTGGCGATACAAAATTGTGAATTAGTATTCTGAAAAGTACAGCTCTTAATACCCCCAAAATCCTGGGATAAAGCTTAGCCGACGCACCTTCATCATTTCAGTGCGCTGGCACTCAGGATCACGCCCAGCCATCGGTAAGATTCTAATCCTCTGTGTCTTTGAGCATCTCTTATCAAGTGGCAGGGTCATCTTCCTGTGTGTGGCACAGTCTGTAGAGTGAGGTCTGCTGGGAGACAGACAAGAATGGCTCGCTGTAGACTACGGACAGGGAGAGGCGATTACATCAACAGCACAGACAGCTGCAGACAGTGGCCACTTCCCCTTCAGTGGATGAGGGAGGCCGGGCCGCGGGTCCTGGCGCTCTGAGCGTCCTCACTCTAGCAGGCAGCAAGGTCAAGGGCTTTTCCAAAGACGCCCCCCGCCCCCCGGACCATCAGAGAGAAAAGAAGGGATGGGAGATCTCGGTTCTGTGAGGGTGAGGCAGAGGCCAGAAGCCATGATTCAAGAACTACAGAGGCGTCCCTCCATCTGCAAATGACTAGAGGGAAGGTCAAGGCAAGGAGGCCTCAGGACAGCGCAGGACAGTAGCAGCTAGAATGGGAGTCCCTGGGGCAGAACGCAGTACATTCCTGACTGGACGGAGGCATGTTTTCAGTACATCAGAAAGAAGAAAGGGAGATCCTTAGGAGAATGTCTCTGAGACTGGAGAGAGATGGGATGTAAGGAATGTGGAACTCGGAGCACAGTGGAAAAAAAGGACGCCGTGGAATCATCTGTCTCTTACACCACCATTCGAGAAAGCTCAGGAAGAGGCCGGATTTGAACAGCATTTATTATGCCAGGTCTCTGCACTGCATGATCTCTTATGTATTATTTGACTTAACTGACACACATCCCTGTGAAGTAGGTATTATCTCCATTTTATAGATAAGGAAACTAAAAATTAGTGAGAGTGTGGGGCACTGGACTGACTCAGTCAGTTAAGCGTCCAACTCTTGGATTTCAGCTCAGGTCATGATCTCAGGGTCGTGACATCGAACCCCGCTTCGGGCTCTGTGCTGAGCGTGGAGCCTGCTTAAGATTCTCTCTCTCCCTCTGCTCCTCCCCACAAGTCACACACACTTTCTCCCTCTAAAAAAATAAAATAAAAATTTAAAAAATAAAAGTGAGATTGAAACTCTCCTTCAAGCTTAGACAGAAGTGAGACACAACCTCAAAGCTGTCTGTCCTTAAAAAGGAGTAACAGGGCGCCTAGGTGGCTCAGTCATTAAGCATCTGCCTTCGGCTCAGGTCATGATCCCAGGGTCCTGGGATCGAGTCCCGCATTCGGGCTCCCTGCTCAGTGGGGAGTCTGCTTCTCCCTCTCCCACTCCCCCTGCTTGTGTTCCCTCTCTCCTGTCTCTCTCTCTGTCAAATAAATAAATAAAATCTTAAAAAAAATAAAAAAGGAGTAACAGATTTATTGAGCGTAATTTACATACCATAAAATTCAGTCATTTTAATATACAATTAAACAATTTTTTTAAATTATAAAGTTGTGTGACCATTATTACAATCTGATTTTATTTATTAATAAAGATTTTATTTATTTATTTGAGAGAGAGAGATAAACAGAATACAAGTGGGGGTGGGGAGGAGCAGAGGCAGAGGGGGAAGCAGGCTCCCCGCTGAGCAGGGAGCCCAATGAGAGGCTCGATCCCAGGACCCTGTGATCATGACCTGAGCCGAAGGCAGATGCTTAACCAACTGAGCCACCCTGGCACTCCTACACTCTGATTTTAGAACATTTCCATGACCTCAAAAAGAAACCTTGTGCACACCATTAGTCTGCTAAGTGCCCACTTTGAGGAGAGCCGCATGAAGGATAACAGCCTGGTGTCCTTAGAGGGAAGGTGTGCGAAGGAGCAGAGCGAGTGACATCCAGTGAAGAAGTGGCAGCGTCGGTATGAAGCACGGGTCTGCCTGGGGTCAGGCTGCAGCCCCTCCCGTCATCTAGCCCTTTCCTCTACTGGCTGCACACGCCAATAACATGCTCATGCTCGGCCGGCCTCCCAGCTAAACTCCACTGAAGGGCAAGGTTACAGGCCGGCTGAGCGGCAAAGACCAGTCTTCTAGGCCTCCTACCAGGTGCACTGACCAATGTGAATCCATTCACTGGTCTTCTGGTTTATACAGTGTCGCAGGTTGGTTTTGACAGCATGAACTGGCTCCCTGAGAAACAGCAATTTGTAGTAAAAGTGAAAAAATAGCATGGGAACCAGACCGCATCCCTGGTGAGCTGCACCGTGAAATCATGTCAGTCAGGGCTGAGTCAGGCTTTCTGCACAACTCTCTGCTTGCTGCTCTTTAACTACCAGTAACAACACGTCGCGATGAACAGTTACCTAAAGGTGAGTTTGGATTTAAAGACAGCTTGTCCCCGTAGACCAGTGTCTTCTCGAACGAACAGGTGGCTGTGATTGCCCTGCATTGGGGCTTTGTAGACATCAAACACTTCACTGCCTAGATGCAGGGAAAGGCTGCAAACGAGAAAGTGTTCAGTACTGGGGTGGACATTCAACAAATCCCACAGTTTCCATTCTCCCCTATCGGCTTTACTTAAAACACTGTGGAACTGTGTCCTGAATTCATGAGAAAAACAGAGGCACTGTAAATAAGGTATTCCCTTTTAAAGCAAAAGGTGCTAAAATTCATCCTTCCTTTAACTTGAAATCTAATTGTTTTGTCATTCTCCCAATCTCTACCACTTCATTAGTAAGATAAAAACAATTTTTTCCCAAAATACCAGTGTATACTGCCCAATAGTACCTCATACATGTGAGCTAGCCTTAGGCTTTCCCCCGGAGATGGCAGCTACCATGAATCTGATCACATCCTGGGCCCACTTCTAAAGTGTCCTCCCAGAGGCCTAGATTTCGTTAACTCTTTAATGAAAGATGGCCCCAAAGTAAGGTCCTGCACAGAGAACCCCGTTCCTCCCAGGTACCCCTCTGGGTTTCAAGTGCCCTCTGGGCATTATGGGCTCACCTCCCATCTGACCACTTGACCACCCGAGCATTGCTTTCCTTAATTTCATTTCCTCCCTCGTCCCGGCGTTTCCTCCATCTTATCGTATTTTCTACCTGGTTCAAAACACAAAGGCATTAGAAAACCAATGTAATTAAACTGCATGTTCTTTTTTCCTCCAGTGACTTATAATCACGTGCCAAGAATTCGTATGTAGTGGTAAAGGAAGCTCACAAAAGAACTAGCCCACCAGGCAACACTGAAACCCTCCCACTACAAATACCTAGAGGTACTGGTTAAACCAACCATTTTGTTAAAAGCTTTCCTAAGCTCTAGTTCACAGCAGTGGAAGCAGAAGCTAAGTACGATGCAGGATGGAGATATTATCACACACACTAGGAGCTCCAAAGAAGAGAGGATGAGGCTTTGGGTCCACAGGCGTTAGGCAGTTAAAATGGAGACCTCTGCCTACCGCACGTCCGCGGGAAGGGCTATGAACCCAATGAAGGAGGGACTACTAAGCCTGACCTAGTAAGACAGGGAAGCTCTGGGCATTAAGTTAAAAATAAAAAGATAAAAGAATATACAATTAAGAAATCAACAACAATTTAAACTTGAGACTTCCACTTTGCTCTGTTTTTCAGTTCAAATGTGTCCTACCCATGTAGTAGGGAACTCCAAATCACAAAGGTAGCCTAAAAATTGGTTCTGCCCCAGCAGAAGCTCATCCCCAACCCCAAGCAAGAAGACAACAGCCCTGTGAGAGCACAGGCATGTCCTGCCATCCCAGGCCTTCTTGAGAGGAACTGCCTGAAGACAAGGCCTCTCTTTGTACATAGTCTGAATTCCGTAAAGAGCCTGAGAGTTTTCTCTTGTGGGAAGTTGTGAGGATCTACCCACTATAAAATGTAGAGGCAGCTCCCTATACCTAACTATATTTATCCTAAAGGAAGTAGCTAACAATTTTCAAGAATTTGTATTGTTACTTCCATTGAAAAATTACAACTGGGAGAAAAAAGTTAGAAAAGTGACAATTACAGGGATTAAAAAAAGGGTATGTAACCTCTCCCCTAAAAATATTCTGAAAAGACATTTCAGTCCTTGTTCTAAAGTTATTTATTGACTGAAGAGTAAACATAAAAGATCATTTCATAATCTCAAGTCTCAAGTCATTATCTCTGTTTTACTTAACAAAATACTTCAAAAGAAAAAGAAAAAATCAAGGATAGAATGGTACCTTTAATCTTAACCTGGTTCTATCTTCCTCGTCAAGCACTTTCTCACCTTCAAATTCATCTTCGTAATACTGAGGATCGAAAGGTCTAAAAATCGTTTTTTAATCTCATGTTAGCCATATTTAGTAATGAATATTATTAATGCTTATAAAATAATCATCTTTATAACATGTACCAATGTTAAAAGTCACAGTAGACAAATAACTTCATGTAAAATTTAAAGAAAGTATGCAAACTAGTGTAGTTTCTTGAAATTTGATTTTAAAACATTATCTGAAAAAAAATCCAAGTGTGACTAATAATTCAAAGTCTTGTTTGAAGAAATATGTCTTCTAAAATATAAATAAGACAATGGTCTATCTTTTTTTTTAAGAAAAGTATCCTGTTTAATTACACAAGAGCTTATACTCATGAACCTTCATGAAAAATACCCATCAATACTATTTTGTTGTCCAAAATCATTGTCTTTTCTAGCCACAGTGGCTTTTGCACTGAACATTTATGATTTCTCTAGCAAACTTTCTCAATCTCATTTTCTGATTTTTCAGCTTTACACTAGTGAAAAACACCTCTGTCAACTCTCATGTCTGTTATATTTATAACTGTCAAATGCTAGAAGAATCATTCACATTAAAATTCTCACACAAGGGGCACCTGGGTGTCTGAGTCAGTTGGTTAAGCATCTGCCTTCAGCTCCCATCCTGATCCCAGAGTCCCGGGATCGAGTCCCGCATCAGGCTGCCCACTCAGCAGGGAGTCTGCTTCGCCCTCTGACCCTCCCCCCTCTCATGCACTCTCTCTCTAATAAATAAATAAAATCTTTAGAGACACCTGCGTGGCTCAGTGGGTTAAGTGTTTGCCTTCCGTCATGATCCTCAGGTCCTGGGATCGAGTCCCGCATAGGGCTCCCTGCTCAACAGGGAGCCTGCTTCTCCCTCTCCTGCTCCCCCTGCTTGTAGGCTTGCTCTCTCTCTGACAAATAAATAACATCTTAAAATAAAATAAAATAAAATCTTTAAAAATAAAATTCTCACACCAGTAACTCATCATTTTTTACCACAGCACATCCTAAATTTACTTTTCCAGAGGTATATGAGGAATCTCCTATCTTTATAATTAGCCAACTCATGATAAGAAAAACATTTACATTACACACATTTTAATTTAGTATCTTGAAAAAAAACTTTAATCAGTCCTCTTACTTGGGTTCTATGCTGAGAAATTTAGGTAGTTTAACAAAGTACAATTCATTTCCTAAATCGGAGTTGATACTGGGGATTTCTACTTCTATTCTGGTTTCAGAAATCGGCTCTTCCTCCTGTTGGTCCTGAGGCACTCCATGTTCATCCTAAGAGAGGAATCAGGATGTGAGAGCTTGAAGGGAAATTAAAAATGCTCTAGCTCTTCTAGAGTACTAGGAGATACAGGTGTGACCGAAAATAAATTCAGACACCACTTTCGGAACAAAACAGCAACCCCTCCAGGCCTCTCCCTAAAATTTCATCCTCTCCCCCAAAACTACCACCATGGGAAAAAAGATGTTAGCCTGCATTACCAGAAAAAATATTTATTTTGTCGACATACCTGGTTTGCATAAGACATTAAATGACAGAACTGTGAAAATGTACAACCCCACAGTACTAAGTAACTATTAAAATCAGAGAAGAAAGTCAAATAGCACATGCTTTCTGGCACAGGTTTGCATTAAGAAAAATCAGGGGCACCTGGGTGGCTCAGTCGGTTAAGCGTCTGCCTTTGGCTCAGGTCATGACCCCAGGGTCCTGGGATTGAGTCCTGCATCTCGGGAGCCAGTGGGGAGCCTGCTTCTCCCTCTGCCTGCCCCTCCCCCTGCTTGTGTTTTCTCTCTCTCTCTCACACACAAATAAGTAAATAAAATCTTAAAAAAAGAAAGAAAGAAAGACTTAAATCAAGGGGTGCCTGGGTGGCTCAGTCAGTTAAGTGTCTGCCTTTGGCTCAGGTCATGACCCCAGGGTCCTGGGATTGAGCCCCGAATCAGGTTCCCTGCTCAGCAGGGAGTCTGCTTCTTCCTCTCCTCCCTGTTCATGCCCTCTCTATCTCTTTGTCTCGCTCTCAAATAAATAAAATCTTTAAAAAGAAAAGAAAAGAAAAACTTAAATCAAAGGTTTTCAATTACGAGTCCTCACAGTTTAGCCCCTAAAGTTTGGCATCACCTCATTCTGAGCAGTTCCTTCTGTGCCCTCAAATATCCACAGTTCCCAACATAGCTGAGAAAGTCACCCATTCCTCAGATGTTTCAGACCGCTACTCAATTATCAATGTCATCTCTCCATAGGAGTCAGACCCTTCAGCCTTTGAAACTTTTTTAGCCTGGTGATGGGTATTAAGGAGGGCACGTACTGCATGGAGCACTGGGTGTTATACGAAAACAATGGATCGTGGATCACCACATCAAAAACCAGTGATGTACCGTATGGTGACTAACATAACATAATAAAATTAAAAAAACAACAACTTTCTTTTTAACTTCGAACACTGGGACCCGTTGAGGTTAGTGATTGTACTTACAGCAGGCTGCCCTGGAATAGTTTGTTCACTGTCCCCATCGCTCTCTGAAGAAATGTCATCTATGTCTCCAAACAGATCCATGAAGCCTGGGAGGAAATATACAGTATTAATTTCTCTCAGTGAGTTTCTTCCCACAGTTCTTAGCCCTTCACTTCAACATTTTCCCAAGACTCAGAAACCACACCTCCACTAAGCCAACCTTGAACTCGCTCCCTGAGCCTAGCCCCCTGAAGCATGAGAAGCATCTATGGAGAAGGAAGGTGGCCAAGTTGGTTGCTGGGAGGCAAAGCTGCCGTGATAGCCAGTGTTCAGCGTAGTTCCTGGTGGTTCCTGCCTCTGGTATTCCTGCCCCTGCAGTGTCCTCCAACACGTGTCATGGTTGGTCTATGTGATCAATAGAATACAACCTCACTTCCAAGGCTAGGCCATGACACTGTGGCTTTTCTGCCTCACTCTTTCTCTCCTTAGGCCGCTTGCCCTGGAGAAGCCAGTTGCCAAGACGCGAAGACACTCAAACTGCTCTGGAGAGGCTCATGTGGCAACTAACTGAGGCATCCTGCCAAGGGCACATGAGTGAGCCATCTTGGAAAGAGATCCTTCAGTCCCAGGCAAGCCTGTAGATAATGCATTCTTAGCCAACATCTTGACTGCAGCCTCATCAAAAGACCCTGAGCCACAACTACCCTGCTAAGCCAATCATGACCCTCAGAAATTGTGGAATATTAAATGTTAGTTGTTCTCATCTAGACTTCTCAGGAGAAGCTGAGTAGCTGGAGAAGGTGTACCTGGAGAAGTAACTGGAGAAGGTGAGGGGTGGTATGCAGGTAACACAAGATTACGTTTAATGCCCTCTTATCTCCCTAAGCCTTTGGATTCCCTCCCCATAATGCCAGGGAAGCACTGAGTTTGTTGTAGCTAACCAACCCCGGAGCCATGTCCTGCTCTATGTGCTAACACATCAGATCCTGAATATGTAAGTGCACCCAAACCAGTCAGTTTGGCCCAAGCTAGTGTTACAGTCTGTCCTTCATCTCACATTCTTAAAATATATTTCCATACATATTCCCTAGGCTTCTCCCTATATCAGCAAAACCTTGTAGTTCTTTTGGGGTATAAGCTATTTCTTCTTCAGTTGGGAGTTTGTGCTTTCTTTGTCAGAGTATGAAAAGATCCTAGTGATGGGTCGACTGGTAACAAGTGGGTCAGACAGCACGCAGTTAGCTAAGTCTTGAGGGGAATGGAAACTGCCCCAGGTGAGGTTATTACAGTGTTTTCAAGCAAGGAAAGACCAGTTTCCCCAGACACAGGGAAGCAAACTGCTGCTCACAGACAAGGAAGAGAGACTAGGAAATTGAATTTTTCTGTTTCACCTGAGTCCAAACAATGTCCTTTCACATGAGAGACTTCAAGAGGCTGTGAATTCAACTTATGTTGCAATTCTGCAACCGCAAAAGTGAATGTTTAATATTCAGCTACCTCAGCCCTCTGACTGCGAGATAGGAGATTCTTTTAGGGCTGTTAGGAAAGCTCACTGGTTCTCCGACCCTGACCTGAGCTGAATGTTTAAAGACCTAAGCTTGTAATATTCTTCCGTAAGTGCTCCAGGGCACTCGGAAGTAACCACCCCACACCGTAGTCTGCAGTCTGCATAATCATCACTACTGCCTAACAAGCGTGGCAGCCACCTGAGCCCTCAACCAGAGGGGATACTCTGATTCACCATGCCACCACACCGTGCGTTACCAGCATCCCATTTCACTGGTGAGGAGCTCAGACCTGCATTCACACCCAAACTAACCTACAAATCACATCTTCGAGGATTTGTCTCCTGAACTACCCAGTCAGGTCCGAGTTGGGGAACAGAAAATATAGCGGCTGTCTATACGGATAGAGTTTAAATTTTTTTTACTCAGGTTTCTACCCCCTTAGAAATGTGGGAACAACGGGAAGAGGTGGAATTATTAAACTTAAAAACTTATAGTATGGAGCTGAAATTCATACCTGAGGAAGAGAAGTATCCAGCTGGCACTGTTGGGGGGGGGCGGCGAGGGGGAAATACAATGAAGCTGACTCTCCAAGCTTTGGTAAAGCTGCAAATTGGATGAGCTGCTGCAGGAAGGAACTGCCTCTGCTGAGGTGAAGGTGTTTGTGGACCCCCTTAGAAAAACTGCAAGTTGACAGGAAGCTTCCAGAAAGTTCCATGAATAAACAGGAAGGAGCAATCTCTTCTTTGTTATTCAGTCTTCCAGTCTCCCTCCAGCGCCCCCTAACAGGGGGCAGCTGGCAAAGATGAAATGTGCTTGCAGAATCTTGGCCCCAGCATCACTGAGCTTGGTATAAAAGGGTGGGTTTGGAGATGAAAGGATAAGAGCTTAATTGTGGATACACGTGTCTACTAGTTAAAAAAACAGAAACAAAGTATATTGCCTTAAAAAGGACAGCCAGCACGAAGGCTCTTAAAAGCCAGGCATAGGAGTTTCAACAATTTGATAAGCCAAGAAACAGCAAGAGACTAAAGGTTTTGGTGTTAGGGAAGTGGCACATTAAAAAAAAAAAAAAAAAGCAAAGGGACATTGGTGATTTAGGACCTTCTTTTTCAATGTCACTTTTCTTTCTCTATAGTTAGGTTTCAGGTAAGTCTCCCACAGCCAGCACTCCCAGACTGTACCAACAGCATTAGAAAGAAAGTAGGGTAGAATCCATTCATAAGGGAAAGATTAATTAGTATATGTAGAACACCACAGAAAAGACAAATGGTAAATGTGCGTGGTAAATTTAAAATATACCTGCAGGGGCGCCTGGGTGGCTGTCAGTTACATGTCTGACTCTTCGTTTCGGCTCAGGTCATGATCTCAGGGTTGTGAGGTCAAGCCCCGAGTCAAGCCCCTGGAGTCAGGCTCCACGCTCAGCAGGTAGTCTGCTAGATATACTCTCCCTCTGCCCCTCCCCGCCACTTGTGAGCGCACGATCCCCACCCCCCAAATAAAGAAATCCTTAAAAAAAAATAAAATAATAAAACATACCTGCAACTTCTTTGCCATCCCAACCATCAAGAGGAGTCAAATTTCCCTCCCTTTGAATACAGGTACACATTAGTGACTCACTTTTAATGAACAGATGTTGGATTTTGATGTGACTTTCCATGCTAACCATAAAACCTCAAAAAGGTAATACAGCTTTTACCTGACTCCCTTTCTTAGGGTGCTCATCTTTGGATCCCAGCCATTATGCTGTGAGAAAGTAGGGCCAGGACTGGGATGCAAAAGTGAGACACTCACCTTGAGTGAAAAATATAAGGGGTACCCAAATCTCTGTGATCAAGACAATGATACTGCAATACAATGTTTTTTATTTTTTAAAAAATATATTTATTTATTTTAGAGAGAGTGCACACACAAGCAGGGAGAGGGGCAGAAGGAGAGGGAGAGAATTTCAAGCAGGCTCCAACTCCCTGCTGAGCACAGAGCCCGATGAAGGGCTCAATCTCACCACCCTGATATCATCACCTGAGCAGAAATCCAGAGTTTGCCGCTTAACCGACTGAGCCACCCTGGCGCCCCAATACAATGTTTTTTAAAACTTCATGTGAAAAACCCATGAACAAAATATCAAAATTTTAAGAAAAGCAAGGATCCATCCAGCTCTGTACTTGTGCAACTCTCCTCACTTGCCTTACCCTAATTCCAGCCATCAGATCCTGTTTACGTAAAATCCTGACATTTTGTTCATCATGGACTTTTGCATTAGTTCCAATTTTTTTAAATGTCGTTATCACAATACCATTTATCTTGATTACTATAATGGACTGAATAGGGACCCTCTCACACAAGGTTCATATACACCCAGAACTTCAGAATGTGACTTTATTTGGCAGTAGGGTCTTAGTAGATATAATTAGTTAAGATGAAGTCTACTGAATTAGGGTTGGTCTTAAACCCACTGACTGGTGTCCTCATAAGGAGAGGAAGACCTGGAGACATACAGAGACACAAAGCAAACAAAAGGAAATGAGCCATGTGAAGACCAAGGAAAGACTGGAGTTCTGTTGCCAAAAGCCAAGGACTGCCAGGAGCCCCTAGAAGCTCGGACAAGGCAAGGCAGGATTCTTCTCTAGAGCTTTCAGAGGGAGCCTGGCCCTGCCAATATTATGATTCAGGATTTCTAGGCTCCAGAACTATGAGAATACATTTCTGCAGTTTTAAGCTACCCAGTTTGTGGTACTGTCTTATAGCAAACTGAAATAACTACAGAAGCTCTTTTTGGGTCCCTTAAACTCTGCACCCCAGAGGAATGCCTCACTTGCTTCCCCTGGCCCCGACTAGGAGGCTTCTTTGTGGGGGGCAGGGGAGGGGCAGAGCAGCACGAATTCAATGAAACCTAAGACTTCCTGTGAAGCTATTTATACAGAATCAACTTGCTTTAGGTAAAGTAGATTTCCTGAACAGAGACTTGCTTTAAAAATTTTTTTATTACAATTAAAATTACACAAAAGCAAATCAATTCATTTCAATCAAAATAACTCATGTTTACATCGTATTTAATAAACTGTACAAAAAATACATAAACTGTTTTCACATTGTGCTTCAATCATCATCTTCTTCCTCTTCATCACTGATCACGTACTTCTTATGCTTTTTACTTGCTTTATCATCATCTTCTGCTTTTCTCTTTCCAGAGGGTTCCCCTTCCTAGACAAATAAAATTTTTAAAAATCTGAAAGTCAATAGGAAATATTTCTAGGAAGGTTTATCAAAAGTAGCTCTGAGCTGAATGATCCTCTGAAAACACAAAATCAAATAATTTTTAAAATAAGAACATTCACCAAATGAATAAAACCAGTGCTAGTTTCCAAATCTACAAGTACTAGAAGCATTAAAAAATGACAACTATCTAGAGCTAATTATAAACTAACTATAAAACAACCCAACTTCAGGACTGCAAGGAAGAGCTAGGAAATTATAAGCAATTTCTTGGAAGGGAGACCTTGTACATGGAGAAGGGAACTGGAAACTAGGTCTGCCCTGGGAAGGGTCAGGGCTCTCCAAAGAAGTCTGCCTGTTATAACCACTGATCCTGTTGAATATTTTTACTGTGATCAGGTGACTGATTAAACTTTTCCTCTGCTTCCTCAGCATTTCACCTCTTATCTAAAATTCAGTATTTTAGGGGCGCCTTGATGGCTCAGTCGGTTAAGGGTCTGCCTTCGGCTCAGATCATGATCGCAGGGTCCTGGGATCGAGCCCCACATCGGGCTCCCTGCTCAGTGGGGAGTCTGCTTCTCCCTCTGCCCCTCCCCCCTGCTCGTGCGCTCTCTAATAAAATCTTAAAAAAATAATAACATTCAGTATTTTAAAGACCATTAATTTTTTAAAATAATGATTTCCTATTTTGGATATACTAAAAACTCACATCATAAAGGTTTTAAAAATATTTGAAGAAGTTAAAGGTTTATTTCACAAGTCTGCATTACTTAAAATCATGTACGATGTTCTGATAGAAACAATTCAGTTTTGAATTTTTACAGATAGAACTCAATATATCAACACCTAAATAATATCAAATATTGACTAAAATGAATTGATATAAAATATGACACTGCAGAATTGCCTTCACTGGCTTCCTCACCAAAAATTAAACAGGGTGGATAGTCTGAAGGCTGAAATTGGGGAAGGCCGGGCAGCTCTCGCTATGACCCGAGAATGCTTCTGGATGTACAAGCTGGCCTATCATCTACTTTTTCTGATGGTCCCTATGACTGGCTCTTTGAGGAGCAAGATACCATCCCACACTTGCTTCCTGCCTTATTATCCCAAACGCAACCCCACAGACCTGAAGTGCCATAGGAGAATTCAAAGGAGAAGGTTATGAATCCAGAAAGAGATCCAGAAGTCCTCCTGCACTTACTTCCTAGCCAGCAACGGTAAAGTTATCCAAAGAGCAAAGTGGGAATATGGATCCCGCCTCCAGGGTGTGACTAGCGCTCGCTGGTTTCTACTTCTATAGCCTGGAGCAAACCGAGATAACTTCCCTTCTCTCCCAACCCAACATCAGCAAAGGCAAAGAGGACATTCAATCCTACCATTGGTCTTTTCATTTATTTTCAACTGAAAGTCTTATTTTAAACACTTTACATGCAAGCCCGCTTGTGGCAACCTTCCCTACATAAACCTCAGTTTTTTCTTCAGCTCTAAACATCTTCAGCTCTAAAATTCTCTAAGGAGTTTAGTTTGAGTGAACTAAAGAACTGGCATGGTACTTCCCAAAGGTGGTAGAGCCTGAAACCAAGAAAGAGACTCTTAACTACAGACAACAAACTGATGGTTACCAGAGGGGAGGGGGACAGGGGGATGGGTGACATAGGTGATGGGGATGAAGGAGGGCACTTGTGATGAGAACAGTGTTGTATGGAAGTACTGAATCATTAAATTATCTGAAACTAATACTACACTGTATGTTAATAAACTGGAATTCAAATAAAAACTTTAAAATAAATAAGTAAAAGGTGGTAGAGCCTGTCCTCAAGGATGCAGGACAGGGCCCAGCAGATTGGAGATGATCAGGGCTCTCCAAACAAGTCTAATTGGCACCAATCCTAATCCACTGTCTGGGGTAAAACGCTCCAGAATTCTGCTTGGGAAATCCTGCCAGGACTGATTTCCCCAGCAGCTACAGGCAAGCACAGTAAAGCACAGCAAAGGAATGCAGGACTTAGTGAATGGCATCCTTCAGGAGACCTCATATTGTGCAAGTAAAAACATGGGATTCTACTCTACTGAACTGAGCTGGAATAAATCTCAGTGCCATGTATAAATGCAACAAATGACAGAAATATTCCTATTAGACTGAAGTTTGCTAACATAACCATGAATGCAAGTCCATATAAAGGAATGGCAGCACAGTTTTGAAGGAATTATCTTCCAACAATTTAAAACTAATGGTAACTAATTGTAATTGTTTTTAAAACTAATTGATTTTTCTCATACTAATAAGCCATCTCCCAGAGTTTATTTAACACAAAACATACCTAAGAATATATATAAACAGGAGTGTCTTAAAGTATGAGAGACCAACACCAAGAATGTCAAAGGCTTCCAGGGAAATATATTCAGAATCCCTATCATGGGAAATCCTATACTAGAGGGCAAGCTGGGGCTATGCTAGTTCCAAGTCACCTATGGTCCCATAAACAGAGAGTAAGGACCTCTAACAGGTAAGGCAGGGTTGC